GGGAGTTGAATAACATACTCGGAGCACCAGAGCCAGAATTCAAAGCTGGGTCTATTTGTTAAGACACACCAACTGGGTATTAACCCCGTACCCATTTTATATGAACTTTCGTCACAGTTGCTGTGCCCAAATTTACAACACTTGGGGAAATCACGAGGAGCGTTGTGATCAGATTTGAGAACCTGTATGTGTAGGTAAGTGTGTATAGTATATGAGAGTGTTGCGTGTGTGTATGTGTGTGTGTGTATGGAGTAGTACCCAGAGGAGTGCATTTAGTTAAAGAAGGGCTTTATTTTGTTATTAAATGAATGATAACAAGAGCAACTTGTGTGCAAGTAAAGTCCTGAGGAAGGTGCAAGAGGAGGGACACAGAGCACAGAGGAGGGACGGAGAGGTCCTTCCTCCACCAGGGGACAGGGCCAGGGAGGCAGGTACCCTGTGGCACTTGTCATGGCTTTTATGGTCTATTTGCCACCACACCCTTTTCTCTTCACAGCCTTATTAAGGCACACTTGACACACAATAAACCGTACATATTGAGAATGTACAATCTGATAAATTTTGATTCATGCATACACCCCGAAACCCTCACCACCTTCAGGGGAATGAACTTGGCCATCCTTCCCTCCAGCCCCTCCCCAAAGCCCCCTTCCCAGCCAAATGCTTATCTGTTTTCTGTCACTAGAGATTCTTTTGCATTTGCTAGACTTTTAGATAGGTGGAATCAGACCACACGAACAGTTTTTTGGTCTGGCTTATTTCACTTTCCATAATTATTTTGAGATCCATCCACGTTATTGCATGCTGACCAGTATTCTGTTGCATAGCTAAGCCACAATTGGTGTTTCCATTCACCTGCTGAAAAACATTCGGGTCATTTTTCGGTTTCAGCTATTGTGAAATAAAACTGCTATGGGCATATTCATGTACAAGTTTTTATCTAGATAAATGTTTTTATTTCTCTTCACCAAGCACCTGACAGAAAAATGGCTGGAACAAATGGTAAGCATACATTTAACATTTTATGAAACTGTTAACTTTTTTCCAAAGCGGTCGTACCATTTTATCCGTCACCAGCCGTCTGTCATTGGTTTCGATTTAACTCATTGGTAGTCAGAAAACATACTTTTTATGATTTTTTTCATCTCTATAATATTTTTATTTAAAAATGCTGAATGGATTAATCCAATATGTGAATCATATTAATTAATTTTTTCACTTACCATATCGCTTTTGAGATTTACCCCAAAGGACATATTACTCTTGTTGCATGCACCCAGAGTTCCTTCTTTATTGCTAAGCAGCATTCCAGGGTATGAATAGAACACAGTCTGGTTAACCATTTACTTAATGAGAGGTATTTTGGCTGTCACTACTTTGGGTTATTACAAAGAAAATGGCTAAGATAGGTTTTTGTACATATGTAAACGCTTACTTTTCTGAAATAAATGCCCAGGATTTAATTTCTGGGCTGTATGGTAAGTGTAGGTTTACTTTTGAAAGAAATTTCTACTGAACTCTTTCCCAGAGAGACTATGACATTTTACTTTCTTATTAGTAATATACAAGAGGTCTAATTTCTACACACCCTTGTCAGCAATGGATATTATCACCATTTTCTCATTTTATTTATTCCAATAGGTGTGTCTCTCTGCCATCTTAACATGGTGAAATATTCTAATCCATGGATACAGTATATATTATTCGTTTTCTTTAATTTCTCTCAGGGATTTTTCGTAGTTTTCAGTGTGCAGGTATTGCATATCTTTTGTTCATTTTATTTCTAAGTATTTCACATTTTTGTTGCTATTGTAAATGTCTTTTTAAGTTTCAATTTTCAATCATTCATTGCTAGTACATAGAAATGCAATTGATTTGTATGTTACTTTGGTATTCTGCAAACTTGTTCAACTCAATTATTAGTTCTAGGATCTAGGATATTTTTTATATATCCCATTAGATTTCTACATTAAGGCTATTGTGTCATTTGCAAGTAACAACAATTTTACTGCTATCTCCACAATTAGAATGTCTCTCTCTTTTTTATTATCATTAAATCATAGCTGTGTACAATAATGTATTTATGGGGTACAATGTGCTGGTTTTATATACAGGTTAAACTGGCTAACATAGCCTTCATTGCACTTTCTTGATTATTGTGTGAAGATGTTTATACTCTACACTTAGTAGATTTGACATGTATCCTTGTAAAATGCACCAAAGGTGTGGTCCGACCAATTATCCTCCCTCTACCCATCCTCCCCCTCCTCTTTCTCCTTCATCTTGGGCTGTAGTTGGGTTATAGCTTTTTTTTCTTTCATTATTGCACTGGCTAAAACCTCTAGTACAACATAGAATATAAGTGGTTGATGGTAGGTATCCACACTTTGTTGCTCTTTCTAGTGTTAAAGACTTCAGAGTTTTACTATTAAGCATTATACTCATTGTAGGGATTTTGTAGATGTCCTTTACCAGGCTGAGGAGGTTCTTTCTCCTATTACAATACTCAGAGTTTCATCAGGAAAGAATATTGAATTTTGTTAAATAATTATTTCTACATCTATTAAGATGATTATATTTTCCTTACTTTACATATATGGTGAATTATACCAACTGAGTTTTGAATATTGAACCAACATTGAATTTCTAGAAAAAACTATACTTGATCACGAAATGTTATCTTTTTATGTAAAAATTTGAATTGCTTTCAGAATGTATTTAAAATTTAAACTTTTCCTTAAAATGTACATTTATGTTTACAAGAATTATAGATCTATACTTTTCTGACAATGCCTTGATCTTGGTTTGAGTTCAGTCATGCTGGCCTCATGAATGGGTTGAGAAGCATTTCATTCTCTTTAATTTTTTGAAGGAATCTGTATAGCATTGGTACTGTTACCTGACTGCTGGAATTCTCGAGTGAAGCCATGTGGTTCTTAGGTTTTCTTAGTGAGGAGGTTTATAAGCACAAGTTTAATTTCTTTAATAGGTATAGAATAATTCAGGCTTGAGTGAGATTTGGTAGTTTGTATCTTTTCAAGCACTGGTTTAATTTCATGTAAGTTGTCAAACGTATTAGCTTAATGTTGTCCATAAAATTCCCCTGCTATCCTTTCCATGTCTATAGAATCTGTAGTGATGTCCTTAACCTCATTCCTGATATTAGTAATTGGTATCTCTCTTTTTCTTCTGGCCAGTATGGCTAAAAGCAATCTTATTGATCTTCCTAAAAAAACAGTTCTTGGTTTGATTGCTTTTCCATATTACTTCTACATTTTTATTTTAATGATTTCTGTTCTGGTTTTATTTATTTCTTTTCTTCTGCTTATTTTTACTTTGATTTTTTTTCTAGTTTCTTAAATTGGAATATAAGGGCATTTATTTTTCTCTTCTAAATGATTATTTTAGTGCCATAAATTTTCCTTTGAGGACTGCTTTATGTCCTTTCAAAAATTTTTGAAATGGTAATTTTTCATTTTTGTTAATTTCAAAATGTTTTCCAATTTCCTTTTTTAAAATTTCTTATTTGACCTATAAGCTATTTAGAAGTGTGTTATTCCATTTCCAGAGATTTTTCATATAACTTTGTTTTGATTTAATTAGTTTTGATTTAATTGTTTTTGTAGTCAGAATATATACTTTGTATGATTTGAACCTTTTCATATTTACTGGGATTTCTTCTATGGTTTGTTATATGGTATTCCACATCCACCTGTAAGGACTGCGTGGTCTGCTGCTGTGGGGTGGGGTGTTCTATAAATGTTGATCAGATCAAGTTTGTAGGCAGTGTTGTCCAAGTCTTTTATATTCTTACTGATTTTTCTACCTACTTGTGCTATCAGTTATTGAAAACACCAACGATACTTTTGGATTTGTTTATTTTTGTTTGCAGTTCTATCAGTTTTGTTTTGTTATTTTGCAATTTTTGGCTGAGGCTGGGTTTGAACCCACCACCTCTGGCATACGGGGCTGGCGCCCTACTCCTTTGAGCCACAGGCACCGACCCCGTTCTATCAGTTTTTAAGCTCTTCATTTATTTGGAACCTCTGTTATGAGGTACATACATGTTTATTATTTTTATATTTACTTGATAAATTGACTCCCTTATCATGAAATAGAACTTTCATCCCGAGTAATGTTCTTTGCTCTGAAATCCACTTTGTCTTCTATTAATATAATGACTCCAATTTCCTCTTGAGCACAGTTCATAAAGTATATCTCTATACATTCTTTACTTTTAAAATATTTATGTCTTCATATTTAAAGCAGATTTCACGTTGGATGTACACTGTTGAATCTTGCTTTTTAATTCAATCTGCAACCCTTTGCTTCTTACTCGGGTGTTTAGATCATTTATACCTAAAGTAATAATTGGCATGGTTGCTTTTAACTCTAACGTGATGTTACTTCATTTCCCTTTGTCTCATTTGTTGTTTTTCCCTTTTCTCTCTTTTCCTGTTGTCCTTTGGTGTAATTTTTTTTTTTTTTTTTTTTTTTTTTGGGACAGAGCCTCAAGCTGTCCCCCTGGGTAGAATGCCGTGGCATTACAGCTCACAGCAACCTCCAACTCCTGGGCTCAAGCGAGTCTCTTGCCTCCGCCTCCCAAGTAGCTGGGACCACAGGCGCCCGCCACAACGCCCGGCTATTTTTTGGTTGCAGCCGTCATTGTTGTTTGGCGGGTCCGGGCTGGGGATTCGAACCCACCACCTTAGGTGTACGTGGCTGGCGCCTTAGCCGGTTGAGCTATAGGCGCCGAGCCCTTTGGTGTAATTTTTATGATTCTATTTTATCTCCTTTGTTACCTTATGTGTATCAGGTGTAACGGTAATTTTTTTTTAGGTGGTTGCTCTAGGACTGATAGTGTACACATTTATCAAAGTATATCTTGGAATAATTTTATACATTTTCATATAGAGCAAGAGCTTTCCAACAATGCACAGTTTGCCTTTGTAGAAATGGGCGTGAACTGCATGAGCCCACTAACTACTTGGATTGTTTCCATACTTGCCTGGCAGGGGAGATACCATGATCACAAAGGTGGTTTTCCGAGGGTGAGGCTTATCCATTGCACCCTGTATGTGCTGACCTCTGTGATTTCCTCAAATGTGGGAAACTCGACTACATAATTTGTGGCAGTGGGGGACTACGTTTGCACTCTCCCCTGAAAAAAATAAGAAATAAAAATAAATACATGGATTATTTTTAATAGTCAGTTCTCTGTATCCATGGGTTCTGAATCTGCAACCAAGCGTAGGTTGAAAACGCAGTATTCACCAGATGTGATGCCTGCATATGTGGAGGGCTGACATTCATATGCACATGCTGTACAGGGATGACTGCAGGATTTCAGTGTGCATGGACTTTGGTATATGCTGGGGATCCTGGAACCAATCCCCTGCATATCCTGAGGGACAACTGGACTTCCAGTTTTCCTGTCCCAATCTTTGTGCTATTTTTATTTGCTATGTATAAAGATCTGTCGACTACCTTCTGTTTGCATTCTTTCTAAAGAGAAGTCCTACTTACCTTTGTTTTTTCTGTCTATAATATGTTTCCCCCCCTTTCCCCATAGAAGCTTCAACATTTTTCTCTACATCATTGCTTTCAAATGATTTGATTATGATGTGCAAGAGTGAAATCTGCCATGAGGGAGACCTGAAGAGAGGGTGTACCTGGTGAAGTCCACATGTGACACAGGGAAGGCCACAGGAGTCAAACAGAAATAAGATGAGAAATGCTGCCAGCAAAGATTTGAGATAAGAGCTAATGTGAGAATAAGAAGGGAGTGGGAAATTAAAATAGGAAAACGAAGAAGAAATTTTCTCCTCCAAAAAAAAAAAACATAGAAAAGATGATGTTTCATTTTTCTGTTATATCAGAAGCCATGAGAAATGAGAAATGGTAGTAAGTCAGGATAAATTTTTGTTTTTCATAGAGAATACCTTTTTAGTAATCAATATGGTAATAATGCATTGATCGATATCTTGGTACTTAAAACTTTCAAGAAGAAATATCACTTGTACTGGTTTGCAAATATTCTCCTCCACAGAGGCTATGGATTATACCACATTATCCCCTGAACTCTTCTTGCTAAGAATCCATCATGAATGAAGATAAATACATATGAAAAAATATTTGTTGAAGTGGCTTAATGGCTGAGATTTACCTCCTTCATGTTTACATGGATGGAGCTGGAAAATGTTCTTCTTAGCAAAGTATCTCAAGAATGGAATAAAAAGTATCCAATGTACTCAGTCCTACTATGAAACTAATTTATAGCTTTCATAGGAAAGCTATAACCCAATTTTAGCCCAGGAATACGGGGAGAGGGGAGAGAGAGGGGAGGGGAGGGGGGTGGGTGGATGGAGGGAGGGTGATTGGTGGGATCACCGTATGGTTCATCCTATAAGGGTACATGTGAATCTCTCTAAATGTAGAATATAAATGTCTTAACACAATAACTAAGAAAAAGACATAAAGGTTATGTTAACCAGCTGGATGAAAGTATTTCAAATTGTATATAGAAACAGTATACTGTACCCCATGATAGTATCAATGTTCACAGCTATGATTTAATAAAAAAATAAATTAAAAAAAAAAGTAAGGGCGCAGTTGTTACACTCCAAGGACAGGATTGTTATTCCATCCTCACTGTAGTTTGTGTGACTTTGTATAATTCACTTAACCATTGAAGCCTCAGTTTCTTCAAGTGTAAAATGAATGTAATAAAATTCATTCCTGTTAGGAAATAGTCACCATTCCTCTCCAACTAATCAGAATATGGCAAGGATAGATAGCACAATACTTGTAAACATACTTTTCAACTATAAAGAACTGTGAAAATATCAATTTTCATTTTTCCTAAATAATTAAATTAATGTAGATTAAAGGGAAAGTAGAGGTTTATGAATGCACTGATGAATCCTGTGGGGAAAAAAGTTTGTCAATGGTGTGCTTTGAGTGGATGTGAAAACACAGAGTGGACTTCAGATTTGTGAAACTTCTAGAATAGCAGCTGGATGAGAGGGAATTTAAAAAGTCCAGATTTATAACATGCAACAGATATAATGTGTATACAATATCTTGCTTTACTGTGCTTTTCTTTATTGCATTTTACAGATATTGCATTCTTTGCGAATTAAAGGCCAGTGGCAACCCTGCTTGCAGTACATTTTAGGTACCCTTTTTCCAATAGCATAGATTCACTTCATGTTTCTGTGACATATTTTGATAATTCTTGAGATATTTCAAAATTTTAATCATTGTTACATCTTTTACAGTGACCTGTAATCAGTGCTCTTTGATGTTACCCTTGTAATTGTTTAAGGACACTACAATTCATGCCCATATAAGATGGTGAAATTAATTTATAAATGTTATGCATGTTCTGACTATTCCACCAACCAGTCATTCTCCCATTTATGTTCCTCTCCTTGGGCCTTCTGAAACCCTGAGACACAATAATAATAAAATTATCTCAATGAGTAACCTACATGACTTCTGAGAGTTCAGGTGAAGGAAAGAGTCACATGTTTTTCACTTTAAATCAAAAGCTAGAAATGATTAAGCTTAATGAGAAAGTCATACCAAAGCTGAAATCAGCCAAAAGTTAGACCTCTTATTCCAACAGTTAGCCAAATTGTGAATGCAAAGGAAAAGTTCTTGAAGGAAATTAAAAGTGATACTCCCATAGCAAGAAAGTAGAAAAACCTCATTGCTGATGTGCAGAAAGTATCAAATCAGCCACCATGTTTTCTTAAGCAAAGGCCCCATCCAGGGCAAAACCCCAACTCCATTCAATTCTATGGAGGCTCAGAGAGGTGAAGAAGCTGCAGAAGAAAAATTTGGAGTTATCACAGGTTGGATAATGAAGTTTAAGGAAAGAAGCCATCTCTATAACATAAAAAGTTCAAGGTGAAGTAACAAGTTCTAGAGTGGAAGCTATAGCAAGTCATTAGGAAGATCTAGTTAAAGTAATTGATAAAAGTGGTTATACTAAATAAAAGATTCCATTACAGGCAAAACAGTCTTATATTGGAAGAAAATGCTATCTGGAATTTCAGAGCTCGAGAGAAGGCAATGCCTAGTTTCAATGCATCAAAGGACAGGCTGACTCTCTTATTAAGGGCTAATGCCATTTGTGATTTTAAATTGAAATACTCATTTACCATTGCAAAAATCTGAGGGTCTTTTAGAATGATACCAAATGTACTATTCCTGTGTTCTATAAATGGAACAACAAAGACTGGATGATAGCGCTTCTGTTAATAATATGGTTTACTGAATATTTTAAGCCTACTGTTGAGATCTCCAGCTCAGATAAAAAGATTCCTTTCAAAATGTAACTGTCCGCTGACAATGCACCTTGTCACCCAAGGGTTCTGGCAGAGATATCCAAGGTGATTGATGTTGTTTTCATGTTGCAAACACAACAGCCATTCTGCAGCCCATAGATCAAAAAGTAATTTTGACTTTCAAGTCTTAATATTTAACAAATACATTCATAAAGCTGTAGCTGCCATAGTGTTGGATTTGGGCTAAGGAAATTGAAAGCTTTCTGGAAAGGTTCCACCATGGTAGATGCCATTAAGAACATTGGTGATTCATGGGAGGAGGTCAAAACAGCAACATGGACAGGAGTTTGGAAGAAGCTGATTTCAGCCCTCATGGATGACTTTGAGGGGTTCAGGGCTTTAATGGAGTAACTGTAGATGTGGTGAAAATGGCAAGCAGTCAAGACTGTTGACCAGTCAGCTGCATCAATGTCAGGGCAAGACCCCATACCAGAAAAAGAATACAACTTGCTGGAGGCTCAGATAGCATTATCTAGCAATAAAGTATTTCTAATTAAGGTATGGATTTTTTTAGACCAGGCATTCTCAAACTATGGCTCGCGGGCCACATGCAGCCTGCCTAGGACATTTATCTGGCCTGCCAGGTGGTGGGGGTGTTTGCCACCACTGCCTGTCCTGCTTAGCAGCTGATTCGTCCCGGGGCCTGCAGTCCAGCCCTCCAACGGTCTGAAGGACAGTGAACTGGCCCCTGTTTAAAAAGTTTGAGGACCCCTGTTTTAGACAGAAAGCTACTATACACTTAAAGGACTAAAGTATAGTGTAAATGCAAATTTTATACAATGGAAATGGAAAATTTGTATGACTTGCTTTACTGTGATATTTGCTTTATTGAGGTGGTCTGGAGCTGCACTCAAAATATCTTCAAGGTACGCCTGTATGACAAAAATAATATGGAAAAAAAATCACTATAAAGGATTAGGTCCAGCTACTGATTGCAGGTAACAACCTGTCTTAAGCCTTCCACATGTGAATCTAGTCTGGAATTGCCAATGCTGTGGTGATCCATTTTTGGTAAAAGTAGAAGCATGAAGGAAAGATTCGCTTCAAAAGGTTAATTTATTCCTACTTCCAAAGTCACAATAACAGGTTGGTTGACTGTGCACTTTAAACACAGAAAACAGTAGTTCTCACTATGGCCAAGGAAGAAATGAAATTATTTCCTTAGGCCCACAACACTATTGCAATGAGATACACTATATTTAAAAGTTTGACCTCTGGTGGATATATCAGGCATAAAACTATCACAAACTAAAGACAGACTTGATGAATGCCAAGGAGCGGAAGGAGTGCTGCCTTGAAGCAGTAACAGCGTGTCACTTTCTTAGTATATGGGAGAGAGCCTTGTTGAAAGCTGATTTTTCTGCAGTTCCCTCTTAGAACTTTCTGCAAGGCTGATATAACATATGCCCACCCTTGAGGATTCTTCATGAAGAGTTTCCCAAATCAGATGTCTTTAAAATTCCTCTGGCAAATTCCAGTGATCATCCACTTGCCATCTGACTCCTATTGAAGCACGATGCTCATTAAGTCAGAACACGAGATTGAAGAAGATCTTAAAGTGTATTCATTTATTCCTTGGCATTCTTCATGTTCTATATGCCAACTGCTGTTCCATGCACATTATATATAGTAACTCGTTTAATCATTAATCACTTAATCACCCCCATAACATTTGTGGAGCTCACACCAAGCTCCTATGATATATCAGACCCTATGCTTGCTGTAAAATAGCCCTTCTCTCAAAGAACCCACAGTAAACTAAGCCGGGCAGATATATAATACAATGTTGCATAATTATCTATTCGGAAGC